GGCGGCTTCGCTAGTACTAGACCCTGAGGTGGACACCCTACGTGTATCCTTACGCGAAACCTTGCTTACCTCCTGCTGATCTCGCTGAGTAGTCGAGCGAAGATGTTGCACAGTGGCGGCCCGCGGGATGTTGCGACGTAGAGGCTCCGTGGGACTTATGCTTCCCTGTGTAATAATTAGCTTACGAAAAACAAGATGAGAAAAAGGAAAAGAGAAAGATGCAGCAACAAACGCGAAGCGAACAGGCAAGGACTAAGCAATAAAAAGCCTAGCGACTACTAAAGAGTACTACACCCGCCCCACCTAAGCTGGTGTCGCTAAAAAGTTGCGTTGTATTGAGCTGCAAAAATTAAGAGTAGCTGCGTGAAACAGCTGGAATAATTAGTAACGCTGCGTCGGGAAAGAGTGGAGTACCGACTCGATAAGCTTGCAGCGTTTACTCCATCATATCATTGCGCTTAGGCGTACAAAAGTCTCCGTATTCAAATAGAGGAAATTGCACCACCTGTTGTGCTGATAACAATAGTTTGCCTCGGCCTGAGAAGCTGGTCCAGGTCCGGATATAGCTGCACAGGTAACAGGTAGCGGATATTGCAAATGACCGGTCGCGGCTCGATGTCGACCCTAACGCCGCGAGCCAAAAGACCTATGTAAATGAGTACAGGAGATTTGCCAAGAGGCTCGAAGATGTGGAATCAGCCGATGGTGCCGGTGTCTGACTGGAGTGGCCCGAACACCACGACGAAGAAAAGTGTTGGTGTGAAAACCAAAAGGGATTGCGCCCCGGGCGTCCTCTGCGTGGCCTGGGGTTAACTGCCTCGATGTAAACTGCAGTAGCGAATTGAGGCTAGTGAAAGCAAAAGAATTGGTGTGACCCCGTATAATTCGGCCAGAGGTACGCGAAATGCTCGTTAAGCACAGAAAAGCTCGAACCTGCTGTTCAGGTGAGCTGAATATATGGTATAAGAAAAATGTTAGGCTGGGCTGGCCAAGCCTAGATGGTAAAACGAGTTGATCGTATAAAAGTATTCGGGATCGAGTGTCCAACAGACGGCTGTGCGTAACACAGTATCAATTGTGAAAGTGACCGAATACGAAAGCAAATCGACCCAGTAGAAAATGGCCCGAAATTGCTGAATGGTAGGGCAGCTGTGCGTAACACTGCTGACCGGCTGCGGCTGGCGTGACCTAGCCTGCCTAACCTACCAAAAAGGGTGCTGGGAAAAGCAACCCGAATATCCCCTAGGCGACAGAACACCTAAGGTAAACCCAAAACCGAACTTACTTGGTCTTCTAGCCTGATTTAGGCTTTACGGCTATGGAATGCAGGGTGGCTTGGCGAAGTCCTGCAGGTAGCTTGAATGCTGACTAGACGGCACACGAACGGGCAAGTCGTAATACGCAGCAAATAGCAACCCGCGAAAGGGGCCAAGATTCCCTCCAGGCAATCAATCAACAGCGATAGGGGTTTACCTTACCGACTGAGTATGCCCGGCGTGAAGGATATGGGCGTTGAGTGGCCCACACAGGAGTTCGGCTGGTTAAGGGATGTTACTTATGCGGCTTGAAAGAAGGGAGGTCCGCACAGGGCTTGTTGTCTAGCTCAGAGAACTTTACAATGTTCCGATCATGAGCCGTAAAGCGACTTTTCCAAGCTCGCTGCCGGCTATAAATACCAAAGTCACACTGTCGATCACAGGAGGCCCTCAAAAGATAAGCCTCGAGTACGACCACGACGTATAGTCCCCAAATGACACAAGTGAAACACCTTATAAACCGTGTGACAGAACATTCACACAAGAAATGAACAATTAACAAGTACATAAACATACGCGAACGAGCGTACATTCTCGTCTCGTCCATAAGTCCATCAGCGAAGTGTAAGATAAGAACCAAACACCTTACGCGATAATACACAAAATTCGCGTATTCACACCGATTATAACCTAAGACGATTATAAAAGACGGTAAAATGAACGTGACGCTAAAATGTCGTGACAGCTGTCGCGTCACATGACTGTAGCACCGAACAAAACACGTGCAGACGTACGGCAGACTCCCCCCCCCAGCGGGCGAAGCCGAGATGGTGAATGCCCGTGGAAAGCTCCATGTACGCACATTCAAAGCAAGTGCTCAGCTAAGCTGCTATCCTTCAAAATCACACGCTTGATAGCCGGATTCGTGAATACAATCAGCCAGATAAAAGACTGGTACTCAGACTCAACAGAAGGACAACTCAACATCAACAAACAATCCTTATCTTGCAGACTGCGCAACCACTTCATGCGCGCTTCATCAGCACCCGATATGTGAGCAACCGGAACTCTAGCGACCACAAAGCCCTTAACAGACTTAATCGCTGCTGGAATTGCCAAATCTAACAATGCGCCAGTGATTGATAACACTGCTACATCTACTGATGTAAACTGCTTATCTACGCCGTCGTAAAACTGAGGCGACAAAGGATCACTCAATTTTACCGGCTTCCCTTTCAAGACGCGCGCGCCAGAAGACAACAAAGCGACACGCAAAGGATTTGAAACCTCGTAAGGCAGAATTACGTTATTAACCAAGCTCCACGCAATGCTCCTCGCAACACATCGACATGCGGCTGCGGTACGGATGGAAGTTGAAGACGTTGCTCGAATAATTGATTGGTAACCAAAGCTATCTTGAATACTGAGTGGTCTCCCGCCATAGCCAGATCCAGCGCCATCGGAACGTCCGCGGCTGAATCCAAACTCCAGTGCTCCAGTTTCGATGCGGCTGCTGCAACCGCCGCTGCTCCCACCGCTCGCCTTGGGCGGGCAGACTTAGGTGCAAGCATATTGCGTAGCTGCACAACATCCACCAGCTCCAATTCGCCGTCCTGGTA